AAAGGTATTCCCAAGAGTCTTATAAAAACACAGATACTATGGACTAAAATATACATATATGAAGTTGACAAAACGATAAAATGATAGGAAATATGTTGATGAACGCTCAACTCAAAAGTATTCCCAAGAGTGTTATAAACACAGAAAATATGCACTAAAATAAACATACATGAAGTTGACAAAGATAAATGTATAAAACTGTTTATGGGTGCTTGTAAATGAATAATGATACTAGCGTACCTATGCAGCACTGAGGACAGTAAAAGCAATTAAGCTGAGATAATCTACGCACTAGCAAAAATAGGATTATTTCAGCTCCAGCGCCGTTTAAGGTTGTGGACTGTTTGCTTCTTTAAAGTGCTCTTTCTAACTATTTTCTCTTAGCTTACACTCATGGATTGGTTTAGATTTAATATTCTTTTAGAACTTGTGGCAAATCTGCTTCGTAGGGCGCCTCTAGATATCTACCCCCCACCCAACTGCTTAACGTATTTTGTGGTCAGACATTTAATTCTTGGCAACTAAGCTTAAATCAATGTGTAATTGTGGCGGAAGTAATCAAAAAATATTAAATTAAATAAGATTGTGTTTGTTTTAATATGATAAAATTGAATAAAATTTGATCAACACGAACTTCTGTTGCGCAGATTACGAATGCCATTTCAGGGAAATTCAACCTTATGCAGGCGGAATTTAACGAAAATGGAAATTCGTCCTCCTGTTGGTGGAATTTAATGGAAAAATTCAAAGTCGGGCTACTGGACATGTAAAAGTAGATTTTTTATTATAATTCGACGAGATTTTTGGGGCCGCTATAATCTTTCCTGCCGAATGTTTTTATACCGTAATATTTATATTACTTTATTTTGATTACTTTAAATTTGAAAATACTTAGCTAAAAAGCAAAACTAAACGGAGACTCAGTCCCGCAGATTATCAAGGATCCACAGGAAGTATCTTAGGAGAAAACCCCCGAAGTATCAAGTCCACGAAAGGCAAGTCACAAAGTTGAGAGCGGTCACTATACTTTAGTGAGTTCATTTGATTTTTCGGTAGGGATTCAACGTGGGACCGCCTATTGGTAATAAGAGTTGCTTGACTGGTTTTCTTGGTCTAAAGGCTTCCTTTGCTAGCCAATAGGATTTGCTATTACAAAGCTCCTGGTCTTTTCTGTTCTTTACTCAATAGTTTTACCTACGTTTTGCTTCAGTAAAACAATAAAAATTGGCTTCTATTTAGTTCCTACTGTACACTTATTACGCACTAACTACACGTTAAGCATGTATTAAGACTTTAATCACCGTAAGACAGCTGGAATGGGAGAATTTTGCCATTGGGTGGCGCTACAATGAATCCCTACCGGATTTTCGTTTAAAGGAGGCTCTCGCATGATGAGTCTAGTGTTTTGGTGGATGAACAGGGGAATAACTCCCAAGGCTTTGCTAATTTAGGCAAATTTCATGAGGTAGCTTGCCTACTGTGTTTGCGTTGGCTATCCCGGTCTTTCGGGCTGAGTTAAAGCATGAATCGGAACCCTCAGG